GTATATGTGTGCATGCGTCGAAAAAGTTTTTCAATACGTTAAGACGTTTGCCTAAACATATGAATTTACAGTACAGTACTTGTAAACTCTTTCGAGGCGTGGGTTTGGTTGCGGGTCGAAAGCATATGCGTAAACCTTGTCTGCGCCAAAAATTCGAACCAGTTCCAGGAATTCGATCAACTTGAGGGAAACATCTTCCACAGGGAAATGCATTCGTTTGATGCAAACTGCCATTGTTGGTTTTTTCCCGGACTTCAAAGCGTTGTATGTGACTTTCAGGAGATTCCTGGCTGTGTCACATTTTTTGGCCACGAGGGAAACTGCGATTGGCGCAACTCGCTCATTTGTCGCATCATTATTGTGACGCTTATTCGGCACGATACATTCGACGGTGTATGAAAACAGGTTCCCTACTTTCCCCCACTTTTCGTTCCACAGGAAACGATACTTGACGACTGGAACAATCACTGGCTTCGTGGCATTTGGGAACCAAATTTGACAAAAGGTTTTCACAGTGGGGTGCAGTCTGTTGATCATGCCAAGAATGCGAAGCGTGGGTTTCGGAGACAGAGGTCTGACATCGTAATGGGCCGAGTATAAATAAAAGGTCCCATTGGCAGTGGACAGCGTTTGCCAAACGAGATTGTTGCGGACAATTTTCAACAAGTCTGGCATTTTTCCGCAGTTCGGAGACATTTTGAAAGATGACAAATTTGATTTGACTGAGTTCCAGTAAGCGACCGGCACGTTTTCCAATTCCTTTGCGAGCAGACTGTCGGCGTTTTTCGGTCCGATGACGTCGAAAGCTGGTTCCCAAGGGATTTTTTTCAACTGCTGTTGTTTTGTTCGGAAAAAAGAAATTTGCATGCTGGTCATGAAGGGAATTTATGGATGGCAAGATATTTTTCTCGCGTTTTACCTTCTTTTGCCATGGTATTGATGAGCGTGTTGCGTTTCTGTCCTCTGTCGTCTCGACGATGCTCCCATTTATTTCAGAAAAATGTGCTGCAGCAAAAGTACCGGCAATTTCAATGGCACTTACCTGTTTTCGAAGCGCTTCGAAACTTTTACTACTGTACCTATTTTCCACAAAATTTTAGCCCCGAGTACGTGTGCCAATAACCAAAAACAGCATCATAAATGTATTTTAGGTGCAACACTTTTTACAGGTCCCTGATGAGGGTTTGTTCTACCGTATAACATTTTATTAAATTTCGCTCCAAAATAGAATGAAATCAAGGTAAGATGCAAGACATGAACAGCAGAGAATTCAGCAAAGAATAATATGTAGTGCACAAACAAAAAAGAAGCATATTTTGTTGAAATGATTGGCAACAGCAAATCATTTTCTGGAAGCATGAAGGGAATTTCAACTTCATCCTCAAAATTCAAAGTTCCCGGTATTTTTATAGCTATTTGTGTTCAAATTTTCATTGAAAATTTAAAATGTCAATAATTTCCATACTTTTCTTGTTCTTGATTCAATAAAGGTTTGTTGCTCGAGACAAAATGGTCGTGATCAACCCCAGGTTTTCAAAGTGAGTATATTGTTTCTTTCTCAGTGCATTTTCTGCTCGTGGCCTCCCTCGATATTTTTACATACCACATACAGCAATTCATCATAAAAATGCTAATTAATTGACCCATGCTTGATCATATATAATTGTGCCTTCAAGTATTAAACTGAATAAGCTGCATTTTTCCAACTCTTCAAACCGGATTTTATTGCGTTTGCAGGTGCTGCTGTGACGAGACAAAAATGAAAAAGATAGACGCAGGCAAAATCAAAATTACAGGACACGATTAAGAATGAATACCAAATATGTATATACCGTAAACGAATGCGGTATAGTCATCTGTTTAGGGAAGACAATCAGAGAATAATTTCAATTTACAGCGCAATTAAAATCTACCAAACATTCATATTATGCGAATACAATTCAGGAGTATTATATTTATTAAAACAGAGAAACTCTTTCTCCAATTATCTCATCTTCGAAAAATTTTCGGAGAATCCCTGTATTTTTTACTGTACTTTTTTTACCAGATCTTTCCGTACTTGGAGACAAATTCCGGGCTATTCTTCTAGGACTAACCCAGAATTTATGACAAAAATGGAGTTGGCATTTATTTTCTCACCTGTGTCGATAATGTTGAAGGACGCTGGACTATTTGTAACACCGTTCAAAATCGTGGAGACAGAAAAAAACAGAAGCGAGAGAAACACAAGCATCCCAATCTTATTGATGATTCGATATTCATTGAGACGAAAAACGAGCCGTCTCATCTCGTCACTTGAACAAAAGTCAATCCTCGAGATGAAATTGAAAAAAAATTAATAAAATTAGGCAAAAAAGCGCAATGAACTGTTTTTTTTTTCATTACAGTATTGTTGAGATAAACGGGAAAGTAGTTCATGACGGTAATATCCTCGATATATTCTATACACTGTATTTCTGAGGTTTCAAAAAGTGGTCAACGCGAGTTTTTGACAATTTATGTATGGTACCAGCAGCAACCCCATGATTATAGATAATTATTTTCGGTGCCAATGTTCACCAGCACATCAAGATAAAAAATGAAATGATTATACACGTGGAAAACTCTGTGGAAACATTGGGAATCACTTGTTGGAACAAAGCGTTCTCACATTACCGACAAAATGCCGACTAAGCTCAGCCGCGTCGTCGAAAAACGCTCGCCTGAGAAGTCAGGAGAAGTAATTGGAGCAGAGACAAATCGTCGACTTTGTAATTGTTGTAAGCAATCGACGTGTGTAAGACATAACAGCCAGTGAAAAAAAATAAACTAATAAATTTCCAACTCATGCGGTCTTTGCTTTCTTACTTTCTTTCATTGACCTGCTATAAAGCAATGAAACGGAGGTCAATCTGAAATTCTGCATCAGGGTCAGCCCAGCATCTATAGACGCATTTTCAAATTGTTCACTTATTGCAGCAAAAAATGTGCATATGAAGAACAAGTAAAGGGGGAGGAAACTTTAATTATAAGTTAATGGGACTTGGCTCAAGGGCATTTTGCAATTTTCAGATTTGAACACCAAATCTGTAAGGTCTGAGTGTAGTGCCCAGTTGGGCATCACCTACTAAGAAATTGAAGATGCAAATTTTTCACTGTCCATGTGAGTCCAGTTTTGTTCTACCATTACCATGCTGTTGTCTTTGCCCAAGAGTGGAGAAATTGGTGCACATCACTGAGGATATGTCTGCAATTCTACACATTGGCCTTGCTGTGCACCTGAAGTGTACCAGAGTTCTTCTTTTGCACTTGTATATCCCTAATGTGCACCAATTTTGTGTTCACACCAGGATTACTCAGGGTCACATTTGTAAACAAATAAGTTACACCAAGGTCACAGTTGGTGCATTTGTGTGATACTCCTGTTATGTCACATTTGTGCACCAAATGTAGCTCTGGATACCATCGTTGTAAAGTAGATACCTCCACGTACGAACATATATTGGGGTTTTATCGGGTATACGTGTGGTGAACACTGGGGTCACACGTGGTCAACACCCCAGTGTCCTTCTTATCGAGGGGTACCTGAAACTGCGTACGAGTGCATGAACCCCCTGCGCGGCCAAAAAAACCGAGGGCAACAAACAATTCCTCAATGTCAGGGAAGCTTTGACATGCGGACCTCAGGAAGGAGTGAGAAAAAAAAAAGGAATATTCCAGCATGTAGGACTTTCACTTTCACTGCGACCCCAGGAGTACAGTCAAGAAGATCAACCAGGAAGAAAATCACGGGAAAGGTTTAAGCCGTCTGGGAATGCTGACGGCTTAAACCTCAAATTCGTATCACTACTGAAGAAAAAGTTGGGTTTGGAAAAGTCAGAATCCCATCTGTCAGATCAATGTATATACTGTAATCAGTGTAATGAATGTGTAAAGAACGGTTGAAGAACATCTTCAGCTTTAATTTTAGACCCANGAGGAAACTTTAATTATAAGTTAATGGGACTTGGCTCAAGGGCATTTTGCAATTTTCAGATTTGAACACCAAATCTGTAAGGTCTGAGTGTAGTGCCCAGTTGGGCATCACCTACTAAGAAATTGAAGATGCAAATTTTTCACTGTCCATGTGAGTCCAGTTTTGTTCTACCATTACCATGCTGTTGTCTTTGCCCAAGAGTGGAGAAATTGGTGCACATCACTGAGGATATGTCTGCAATTCTACACATTGGCCTTGCTGTGCACCTGAAGTGTACCAGAGTTCTTCTTTTGCACTTGTATATCCCTAATGTGCACCAATTTTGTGTTCACACCAGGATTACTCAGGGTCACATTTGTAAACAAATAAGTTACACCAAGGTCACAGTTGGTGCATTTGTGTGATACTCCTGTTATGTCACATTTGTGCACCAAATGTAGCTCTGGAATGGTAGCAACATTTCATCTATGGAGGTGCATGCTTGTATATAACCCCAAAATAGCCCATATGCACACCACTTGTGACCCCAGTGTGCACCAGTTGTGGGGTCACAGGAAGAATAGCTCCCCATGGACAGGGCCCCTCTAGTATGCCATGACCCACGTGTAGCAATAATAAATATGACATATATCCTCCAAATGTCTTCACTTGAAAATAAAAAGTTTATTGAAAAGTTCAAATGGCATTGGACTTGTAAGATTTGAACAGGGATTAGCTGGATTTTTTAATAAGGAGGTTTTTCACTCATATTGGGATGTTCAACTTTTCTATAATAGATTCAACTGTATTGTTTAAAACAGAAAGGTGAAAATCGCGAAGAAATGGTCTATATGAACAGAAAAAAAACCAATTTGGCATGAAGTAGCGCACTAGGAGTCACGAAATTCTCGGACGAAGAGAAAATAAGATGAACTTCATACACTATATGGTCATTTCTTCCCTATTCATAGTAGTTATCCAATAACGCATACCAATCAGGAAATCACTTCGAAATCGTCCTCCATTTTTTGGCTGCATTTTATATCCAAATCAAAACTTCTGCAAATATTCGTAGATTAACTCTTTATTTGCCCACGAGCTCCTCAAAAAAGCTTCAAACTTCCCGAACAGCGCAAAAACCAGGGAATCACAGCCAATTACAATCAGAGGGTTCAGCAGTCCCATGCGGCAAATTGGCCCACGAAAATATACACATGCACGGACCGATTGAAAAAAAAATGTCACAGAACTGTTTCACACTTCGATGCTACAAAATTCCAACCGGAATTTTGATTCATCACACGAGCAAAACCATCAATGAATGCCAAAAAAATCCTGTTGATCATTTCCTATACGCTTTGAGATTCACGTTAAAAGAATCGACTGCAGACGATGGACATTATACTGCCTGAACGGCAAAGGACATAATTCAACATTTCGCCTAATTTGACACACATGTGTTCAAGAAAATATAATAAAATGAATTGATCTCGAGAAGACTCGTCGATGAGACAGCACATTTGAATATATAATGACCGATACGTATACGACAAGCATTTACGGTAATACTCTATATAAACGAAACATTGGAATTGAATAGTTCTGCAAAAAAATGCGCTCGTAATGATTCAGCTATGCCAACAGCTCATGAAGATATTTCAGGCAGACTTTCCATGCGAGACCCTACTCAGCAAATAAACTGCTGGAGCAAACAATCGATTCGTATACAGTGTATACTGTACAGTGAACATTAGCCTCAACCGGATGTGGAAGAGCGACATCTGCATAGAGATATAATAAAAATGATCAAAACAATATCTTACTTGTGCAATAGGGTAACCTTGCTGCGCACCGCAGTCACCGTGTTAAGAGCAATAATTACCCGCGAGAGCATAAAAGGTTCAACGCCAAAGCTCCAATACAAATCCCCTTAGTTCATATGAGAATCGTTGATTGCCGAATGAACTTAAAATCAGTGAAAAGTGAAAGAAACTGTTCAGAATTCCATCAAATTTTCAGGAGCATCGCAGATCTGGGAGGCACGTCGCAGCAAGGAAACCCATTCATCAGTCTTCTCTGGACTGTCTACGGCAAAGTGCCATTCATTTCCTGTAAAAAGAATAATAATAAACAGCATGTCAAATGATGAAAGCAGACTTCAGGAAATTACAAACCTGAATTTGGAAATGATAAAATAAAAGAGCTTGGCGAGGTCGTTGTAATTTTTGACCCCGTGACATCGACGGCTTTCCAAGGATCTGATCTGTAACCATTGCGATCACACCTGAAAATCGAAAACAGTGTATGATTCTTTAGGTAGATTGCCAAAACGTAGAAAATTTGAAACGATGTCCGATGAAATTGAGGGATGAAATAAAATTGAAAGAGAAATTAATTCATGCCTTGGAAAAGGCAGGCTGCCAAAATGAACCCAGCAAAAATAAAGTTGAACGTCAGCGTGCGAATTATTATATTGAGTATTTTGATAAAGAGGTATCAGAAAAAAAACCATGTCTCATTTCTGGGCAGAAATATTTCCCGCGCACTTCAATACGTAATCTTTTTGGTGTCAAATGGAAGTACTGTACAGTACTAAGAAAAAACACGCAATTCAACTAATTTTTACATTCTTTTTCATGGTTTCTGAGTTTAGGAAAAAATTAATTAGAAGCAGGACGAAGAAATCAAAAGGATATCGACATTTATTTTCGTTTCAACTAATAATAAACTCACAATGTTTCTTGAGCAGTGCTGGTTAAACTCACGTCAGGATGAGAATAGAGCCAATTCGTTATGTACTGTAATGTAAATTTGTCTGCTGAGAATAAGATTTTTATTCTGACATCATTGAAGAGTTTTCCTGTATATTTCAGGAATAGCCCAAGTAATTATAAAGGCTACAGTATAACAAATAGGAGAATTAGAACCACAAAAAATTAGAACAGCTAGAAGAATTAGAACAACACAAACAATAAGAACAGCTATAGAACAATTTCAACAGATATAACTGCTAGAACAACAAAAACAAACAAAAGAGCTAGAACAATTGGAACAAATAGAACACCTAGAACAATCAGAAAAAATATGTAGAACAATTATTCGCTGATTATATCATTAAATTCCTTGCTGATCACTAAATCTGATGTTGTCTAGCGTTTTCTGAGACATAAAATTCATATGGCACAATTTCAATGAATGGAGAATTTAATCTTTTGTTATCTTAGAAATACATTAACTTACAGAATACCCTTTTTGGTAGTTTCAGAAGAAACCATTTAGAAAGCCTAGAAACGGAAATCATGGAAGCATAGATAATTGCTTCCTTTTCCTTTATGAGAAGTCTTGACAACTTCTCATGATTAGTCACAATAGCCTTCCATATGGTAATTATGGTACAATCAATCCTGGAACCATGGTGAGCTCAACTCTGTGTGAAATCCAGTGATATTCGGATCTCTCGTTCATGTGGCGCATGGTCATTACTACTGAAGTATAACCAGCGCACTCATATTTCACTCAGAGTGATTTCCACATTATTTCCTTTCACGGATTGGGATTTCCGCTATTAAGGTCGCGTCGATTATTTCCTTTGTTCCCCCATCTAGGCTGGCTAGGCTTAAATACCCCTGCTTGGTGAAATCAAGAGAGAGATCTCATCCAAGCTTCATACAGTAAACTCCATAGCCAAAGCCTTGTTAAAGCTCAAACCTATTTCGAAGTAAAGTACAAGCTGGACTTGTGTGTTTGTGCATTTGTATTNCAGTTTGCTGAATCTACTCGCCGAGGCCAACGACAGAAAATCAAACGTGAGTACAAATCCGCGGAAGAAAAAAAAAAAAAAATCTTGCAAGTGAAAAACAAAGAAATTCTGGAAAGAATTTATTTTTGAGGTTTTCTGGTGAGCCTAAAAAGTAAAAACCAGTGGAAAGGTTGTCTGATAAGCCTAAGTATTTAAAATCAGAGGGAAAGCGCTTGAGGTTGCCTGGTAGAGCCTAAGAGATAAAACCAGAAGAGGTTTCTTATTAATTTACCTGCAAAAAATTAATTGAGAAGGTTACCTGGTGAAGCCTAAGAAATAAAACCAGAAGAGGTTTTTTAATTTTCCTGGAAAAAATTAAGTGAGATATATTGCTGCAAGGATCAAGCAGCGTAAAGTAATTTCTATATTTTTCAGAACCTCATAGTTTAAAAGAAAAATATTGCTCCTTGATCAAGAGCAATTATTTGATTTTCAACTAAGAGTTTAAAAGTTCTGGAAAACTCTCCTTTTGTTTAACATCAAGAAAAGAAAGGAGCGAATAGAAATTAAAAGAAAGAAAAAGAACTCTTTTATTTTGTGTCGATTTTGGGAGGAGCGGGATTATTTTACCGTTTTTGGCGTCGGCATAAATAAAAGAGGAAAGAACCCGCAATTCGGATACGGGTAAATAGGGAACGCGAATTCTTTGCCGTCAGGGGATCCTTTTATTTTTTCCGACTCGCGATAAACATCGGCGCGCACGTAGGTCGTATTTTCATCACGCGACAATAAGGGGCGCGATACACGAGTGGGGAAAATAGGAGAAGAATTTTTGGGCAGAAAAGATTTTCGTTTTAGAAAGGATAATTATGGGCAGCTCAGTTTTTATGGAAGAGATGGATTTCATCTCAAAACTGACTGACCCGAGGGAACAATTGAAGGAGATCCAATTG